TAGCTTTGATAAAGATTGGATCCTCTTTGTACGGTCAAAGTATAGACATATGGAGAGAAGAGCTTGAGAGTCTCACTAGAGCTCACAATAAACGCCTGTTTGACACATTAAAGATAAGTTTTGATGATATAGGAAAAACCAGTCAACAAGTTTTTCTTGATTTTGCTTGTTTCTTCAATGGAAAAGCAATAGATAGAGTGATTGAAATACTTAGGAGTTTAGGTTACATGCCGCACAGTGAGATGCAATTGTTGTGTGATAGATGTCTTATCGAAGTTGGACCCCAAAAAACAATAATTATGCCTAAATTCATTCAAGCTATGGGTCAACAAATTGAACGCGACGCGGATCGTGAACGAAGTAGGATTTGGCTTCAAGAGGACATCCACACCTTGTTTAATGAACGACGTGTAAGACATATCTTTAGTATAAATGTTATTTTCCGATGATCTTTTTTGTTATTGAAGTTTTATTTTTGTGCTATATACTCAATTTTTCCAGGGATTAAAACACATCAAAGGCATAATTTTGGAGTTGGAAGAGAACCAAGATGAATTAGAGTTGGAAGGGAGGCTCTTTACAAATATGACATGTTTGAGGATGTTGAAAATTGGTAATGTGCAGCTTCGCAGAGACATCACAAATCTGTCCAGAGAATTGCGGTTGCTCCATTGGCATGGCTATCCTTTAGAGTGTTTGCCATCAGATTTTGAATCAAAATATTTATTTGAACTACTCCTACCTGTTGGTCAAACTATACAACTTTGGCAAGGGCGAAAGGTTAGTACATATAATTATCATTTCATTATGGGTATATTTGAGAGCGATGGTAGAATTAGTGATTTTGAAAAAAGAGATTTTAGTGTAATTGATTTTCTAAAATYATCATCAAAGACATATCTTAAAAATCAATTTAAAGTGGTTTTAAATTTTACTAAAATCAATTGGAAAGGAACGTGATTTTGATAATGGCAAAAGACAAAATCACTCACAAGCACCTCCTACGTTAGTTCGATTTTGTTTTGTTGCAGCTATAAACTTTGTCTCCTGTATGAAGTACTAATATCTCAAATAAATGTAAACAAACTGTGTTTTATTACAGAGATTTCAGAAACTGAAGGTCATCGATGCTAGTGATTCCAAGAATTTGTGCGAAACGCCAGATTTTTCTGAGGTTTCGAATCTTGAAAGATTGATTCTACGTAATTGTACAAGATTGCAGAAGATTGATTCTTCCATCAGCACCCTCAGTCGTCTAGTTTTATTGGATGTGAGGGGTTGTTTCAGTCTACAAAACTTTTCATTCTCACGTCTTCTAGACAATTTGGAGGTACTATTTGTTTGAACTTCGACATTTGTTTAGAAAGTAATCTAGACTTCGTTTTAAATTCATGAATTTTGTTCAATTACATGAACATTTTTTGTTGATACATTACAAGTTTCGTCCAAAATTCTTGTGAGTAAGAAGACAGACATCTTTTATAATAGTTTGTTATCCAATGTGAATCGCGATTTGATGAGATTATCAAACATACTCTCTGAAGTTAAACGATACGAGAACCTCAGTGAATTGGCTTAGAAACTCCTTGATTATGCGAACTTCCTTTGAATTTGATAGCTCATTATCAGTTGATCGAGAAGAAGAATGTGGGAGAGCAATGTATTATTTGGGGAGGAGAAAGTTACTTAGAATTGAGGGAGTTGGTGTTCACATATAATTTCCTCTTCCACAGAAATATCCAAATACAACTAAAAATATGTAAATAGGAAGAAAATTATAAAGAATAACGACACAGTAGATTATACTAATTCACCACTAAGGGGTCTTTCATCTCTAACTCACTCATAATTGTTCAAGGATTTGAATACAAAAACTTTCTCCAAAAATACCCCTAGAGGTCCCAACAAAACCCTCTATTTGAACACAATATGAATACTTAAGAACATGAATGAAAACTCACAAGAATCAAGATACAATAATTTCCCCGATAACGTAGTCTTGATCAACCCCAATTCCTCTGCCAATGTCCGAGCTGCCAAAAAACCTCTAAAAATGGCTGCTAAAAAACCCCTCTTTCGGTTGGTAAAACCCTAAACCCGAAGTGCAGTATTTATAAACATTGAAACAGCGTCATGGTGCTTTCCCTAGAGCCATGGCACTACGGACGGAGAGACACGCCCACGTGCCCCATCAGGACAGCATCGCGACGCTACCTCCTCGGCCCTTGTGGCCTACAGCGTTCCGCTTCCCTATTTTCATTCCCACTTCGATCCCAACACATCCCTAGTTCGTTCCGACGTCGTTTTGGTTACACCAATTCTAATAGTGGGGAGGGAATAATCAGAGAAAAAAAAAGAGGGAATTTGAGATATTTAGTATTAAAAAGAAACTATTTTGAAAGTATTTCAAATTCTCATTTTTTATTAATTCTTAATTTTAATTTTGTTTCCTTTTTGTTATTTTTATGACAGATTTGAAATAATAAAAACAAGGATAAAAATAACACGGACAAAATACAGTATTTATGAGAGAGAAATATTTTGGAGTGAGAAAAATAAATTGTTCTATATAAAGAGAAATTTAGGTGGAAAGATATTTTAGAGCGATAAAAAGATAAAAGAAATTTGTTTTACTTTTAATTTACTGAGGATTTCAAAAACAATTTTAAAAAATAAAAGTCAGGACATAAGTTATCAAACAAGATAGTTTTAAGCCAAAAACTAAAAATAGAAAACGAAAAATTGACGTGCTAGTGGTATAAATGAAAATGAAGACAGAAAATCAAATAACAGTATAACTCAATCAAAGTATCAAATGGAATATGCTTGGATGGAAATGATTACAGATTCTAAGATTTAAAAAGATAGCCCTAAAAATTACCTAATGTAAATTAATTGGTAGGAGTTAATTTTGATTAATTTTAATGCTTTATAAGTATAAAATTATTGAGAGTGATCACACCAACCCAACACAAATATCATTTTATATATATATATATATATATATATATATATAACATTTTATTGCAACACCAACTATATATACATTATACATCATTTATTCCGATAAAAAATCGAATAACATTTTTGTATATAATACAACATCATTACCTTTGATTTTTAGGTATCTTCGTACTCTAAAATTTTGGAGAGACACCTAAAAATTCGGTTACTTGTCGATTCAAGTGGTACGTAAATTGGGTTTAGAACGTTGTGAGACAGTTCAGTTCCTTACCGCATTATTGAGTGGTTGAAGAGCATCTCCACCGGAGGCAAGATAGCAACTAGAGTCCTATACAAGTGAAAAAGATAATGTTATTTAATAACCAATCTGTAGGATTTACTTTCTTTAAGGTAATATACTAATGTGTGAGACAACCAAGGCAGTCAGATGCCAACTCCATGATACAAAATTCCAAAAATGTACTTAAAATAAAGTTGGGGGAGGTTATATCCCGTTATTTTTATAGTCTTTTTCGAAGATTATGCATTTTAATAATATCACGGGTTTTGTTTTCTTTTGATATTCGTAAGTGTCCGAACCAGCTTACACGCACTTCGAGTAATCTCACCAGACAATCCTACAACATTTGATGTCTAGAAACACATGAGAATTACTAATTTATAAGATAGGTGGTGATATCGTAGGGTTATAAAACCCCTATTTTTTAAAATATTGTATAACCTCGGTTAAATTGAAATGGACTAGGGCATGTTTTGGAATACATTTAGGATAGGTGTGTTTAGCTAAAATGATTTATTATAATTCAATTATCACTTTAATTTGGTTACTCAATTTTAAAAGTAATTTTAATTTTATTAAAGAGTTTTTGTGTGTTTCTTTCCAAAGGGATTTTAAAATTATTAAACTAAAAAGGGCCATACATTTGAGAGGAAAAAATAAAAGAGAGTAAGGAAAAAAATAAAATATATAGAGAGAGTGACAAAAAGGGATTGGAGAGGGACAAAAACTCTAGAGAGAAAAAAATGAAAAAGAGAGATAGGGACATAATTTAGAGAGAGAAATAAAATCAAATACAGGCAAAAATTAGAAATAAGAAACATGGAAAGGGGGAAAAAATTGGAGAGAGAAAAGTTAGAGAAGAATTGAGAGATAATAGTTAGAAAGAGAGAGGAGAGAGTTTAGAGAGGAGAGAAAAAAAAAAAACTAAATAGAGGGTTTTAACAGAAATGGTTGGGTTTATGGATAAAGTAAAGTAAGACAAACGAATCATGATTAGCAATTTGGCTTAATTTGATTCTGGTCCAGACCAAAGAATGCCAAAAGCCCACTGACACCAAATAAAAAGGTCTTGAAAGCTCAATCTTATTTTAAGGAGAGAATGGCATCTTATCTTATTTCAGAAATTCAAATAAATATTCATGGGATTTGAGGAAAATATATCCTAGGACCCTTAGGACTTCCTCTCCATAAAAATGAAGAAGGCACCATAATAGAGATATACAACAAAATCTACTCTACTCGTTCCTACATTTTATGTAAACCCCGATTCTAACTTCATCGGAGCGTGTGTGGTTAGCACACACCGATGTGTAATTCTATCTTATTTTGCTGATTATCCCTTGAGTTTGGCAATTCAGATAATCCAAATTTACACCTCAATATTGGCAATGAAATTAGTGCAAACAAAGTCTCACACTAGAGAAGGGAGTGATCCATGGCGATGTATGAAATCTCTTGATGAAATCAAAATGTGGGTTAGATTCGAAGTAGACAATATTATACTATAGATATATTCTAGGATACTATAGTCCTTGACAAACCTAAAAAGAGCATAGGGACAGAAATTCTAGATTATTAATGAGTAGTGCCAATTAGATAAAGTTTATTATTATTATTTTTTTTGGGAGGGGAAAACAGATTGTTTATTACTTTATTTTATTTGGAGGGGAGGGGGTGGTTGACTTGCATCAGGTTAGAGGTGTTAAATTCATACTGCGATACATGTGAACATCCCTATTTCCTTATTTCTCAACCTTAATATTTGTTTTCATTATTTTCAAGCTGTTGCAGAGGCCATGGATGAATCTTCATCATCTCATACTCCTCAGACGGTTTTCGATGTTTTCATAAGTTTCAGAGGTGAAGATACTCGCAACACTTTTGTTGGACATTTGTACGAGGCCTTGTGTAAATGGGGAATAAGGACTTTTATGGACGATATGGAACTCCTAATTAGAGACAATCTCAGTGAAGAACTTGTGAAAGCCATCGAAGAATCAAGGATTTTGATCGTGGTTCTATCAGAAAATTACGCTTCTTCTAAGTGGTGCTTGAGAGAATTGGTCAAGATAATTGGTTGTGTGGCTGAGACGACACGTCGAGTCCTTCCTGTGTTTTACCATGTGGATCCTTCCGATGTTCCACATCAATCTGGAAATTTCAAGAAAAGCTTTGATGAACATGAAGAAGAGGCTCAAAAATTCATAGGTGAGCAGAAAGAAAACTACTTGGAGGAGGTTTAGAATTGGAAGGATTCCATGACAAAAATTGGAAATCTCGCGGGAGCAGTTGTCACAAAAAACAGGTGAAGTACAAACATCTCTTTTTAATCGCTGCATTAGAACAATCAACTCGTTAAGTATCCCACTTTGAAAAGAAAATGACCTTACAATGGTTTATAATAGACATGTACTACTCCTCTCCTTGTCAATTAATTTTGAGAGGGAACTCATGAATATTGATATGGTATTAGGACCTAAAAGCTCAAACGAGCATGCGGCCTAAAAATGGAATCCAGCAAGGATGGATGAGTCAAAATAGCCACATATTTTGAGAGGACATGATAGACCTAGACTACTCCTTTCATGCAGTTTCTTTTTTCTCTGAATAAGAATATTTGGATTAACTTTATAAGTGATTTTAGAATGGTAAAAGTGGTTTTTTATTTTTATTTTAATTTAGAGTGTTCCATAACAAGTAAAAATCATTTTTGTAATAATTAAATTGGTTTATAATATTTTCGGAAGAATCATTGTAAAGTTGATTTTTTATAAAGTGATGGATCGGAATCACATTATGGTAATTGACATTTGTAGAATCACTTGGGTCTCAATTAAATAAATTTGGGATAAAAATCACTTTTGAAAATACGGCAATCAAACACAAAAATTTTATAGAAAGTGTGTTATAAAAAAAAATTTCGTCTTAAAAGTGACTTTATTATCCAGATATGTGAAACTCAGCCTAAATAGTAACTAGTTATGGATCTTGACTGCTTTTCGACGTATGGATCGAGGATTATAATAACTGTACTTAAAATGCCATCAATTTGCACCAAATTGAGTATAACTCAACTAGTTAAAAGCTATCTCCGATTTGAGTTCGAATTCCCACCATTGTTGCAGTGAAAAAAATGTCATCAATTTACAAATTTAATATTGACGATTAACTTTGATTTACTCTTTGCATTTGCAGCGCTGAAGTGGACAGCATCAAAAGAATCACAAACCTGATATTAGATATGTTGCATCATCTCAAGTTAGTACCTTCGGATACGTTGAAGAATTTAGTTGATATGCAATGTCGGTTCTTTTCTATGGCAAACCTCATTGATTCAGAATCAAATGAGGCATGTTTCGTGGGAATTGTGGGGATGGGCGGAATTGGCAAAACAACTATTGCTCAAGTTTTTTACAACAAATTTGAACTTGAATTTGATTATAGTTGTTTTCTTCGCATTTCTACGAGCAATTTGGTGTTGCTCCAATATCAACTTCTCCGTCTTGTTTTAAAAGAAGACATTAAAGTTCAGGACGAGGATCAAGGAGCAGATATGATTAAGATTTTTTTGAGAGGTTGCAAAGTTCTTATTGTTCTCGATGGGGTCACTACTAAAAGACAATTAGAAAAGTTAGCTGGAAGTCCCGATTGGTTTGGTCCAAAGAGTATAGTCCTCATTACAACTAGAAATAGAGAGATCTTTTGCCAACCTAATTATAAAAATAAGATACAAGAATACAATGTGAAATTACTCTCTGATGAGGGTGCCTTAGAACTCTTTTGCAAGCATGCATTCAGAGATGGTCATCCTGATGAGAATTTCATGCATCTCACTTGGGAGATCGTACAAAAAGTTAAGGGACATCCACTGGCCTTGATAAAAATTGGATCCTCCTTGTATGGTCGAAGTATAGATATATGGGAACTTCAGTTGAAGAAGAATTTTTATGACGTACTAGTTCAAGAAGATCTTTTCTCTGTAATATTAAGGACAAGTTTTGAAGAACTAGACGCAGACTGCCAAAATCTTCTTCTGGATTTGGCATGTTTCTTCAATGGAGAGAGGGTGGAACGAGTGATTGAAATACTTGAAAGTTTCGATTATGGCCCAACCGATATTAAATTACGTTTGTTAGTTGATAGATGTCTAACTGATATTTCACATGGGAGGATACAAATGCATTTCTTGATTCTTTGTATGAGTCAAGCAATTGCGCAAGGCAAGTTGGGAACTCAACGAGGCATTCAAACTAGGATTTGGCTTCATGAAAAAATTGTAAGAAACTGTTACTTTTCTTGCATTTGCTCTCTTATTTTGATATTGTAATTAATATAGTTATTATTATTATTATTATGTTAGGGACTAGAATACATTCAAGGAATAGTAGACCTGGGGGAGGAAGAAGAGTTAGCATTGGAGGCCGAGTCGTTTCGATATATGACTGCGCTAAGAATATTAGAAATTGACAATGTGAAACTTTATGGAGATGTTCAATTTCTATCAAACCAATTGAGATTGCTCAACTGGTCTGGCTATCCTTCAGAGTATTTGCCATCAAGTTTTCAATCACAATATCTGTTTAAACTGCACTTGCGTGATAGTGATGTTCTACAGCTTTGGGAAGGCAAAAAGGTTAGCATATTATGTTCTTTGTATATGGCTTTATATATTTTCATTACAAAGTGGTTAGTTATTCTGACAAAATTTGGCTATATTGCAACAGAAATTTGTTAACTTGAAGGAGATCGATGTCAGTGGTTCGAAATTCTTGGTTGAGACCCCTGATTTTTCGAATGTTCCAAATCTTCGAAGATTGATTTTACGAAATTGTGAAAGATTGCGATATATTCACCCGTCCATCAATATTCTCGATCGTCTTGTTTTACTGGATCTGGAGAATTGTATCAGGCTTATAAGATTTTCATATAATATCAGCTGCAAAAATCTCCAAACTTTAATTCTTTCTAACTCAGCTCTTGTGCGGTTTCCAAGGATGAAAGAACATATGGAATATTTGACTGAACTTCACCTCAATGGGACTGACATGTATGAGCTTCATCCCTCAATTGGACGTCTAACTCACCTGCTCCTATTGAACTTAAGAAATTGTAATAGGCTTTATCATCTTCCGATCGAAATTGGTCGCTTGAAGTCTCTTGAAACTCTCATTTTGAATGGCTGAAAAAAGCTTAACCAAATTCCCCGAAGTTTGGGGAATGTAGAATCTCTTCAGAAGCTTGACATTGGAAGAACATCCATAAACCATGCACCAAAGTTTACTCACACTTTATGGAATCTGGAAATTTTGAACTGTGAAAGGCTTTCCAGCAATATTTGGTGTTCTTTGACAGCTCTATTTAGCAATTCTTCTTCCATCAGAGATCTAAATCTAAGTGACTGCAATCTTGAGGATTAGGACATTCCTAGAGATTTTCACTGCTTTTCCAAATTGGAAATTCTAGATCTTAGTGGCAATCATTTTGTACAACTCTCACAAAGCCTTGACCAACTAATTAACTTAAAAGCATTGTACTTGAATGATTGCAATAAGCTTAAGCAATTACCAAAGCTTCCATTGAGTTGCCGATATGTTGGTCTTCGTGGAGTGTAGTCCTTGGACATGTCACCAAATCCTGATTCTGGGGGTAAACATTATCCTTCATCTTCTTTTATTTGTTGATCAATACAGAATCTCTTCTTTTTTACTTCTTCGAACTTATTTGATTCGTTTCATTTTCAGGCACTTCTACCAGCATGTCACCAGCATTACCATCTAATCCTCCTCTGATGAAAAAAGTCGCCGATCTCGCTGAAGAAGCTGCAAGAAAAGAGTACAGGTACAAGTGTATAATATACGTTAAAATTGATGAATCAACCCATAAATTATAAATGACCCATTTTCATCGCTTGATAACACTAATAATCAACTTTGAAAAGGCAAATGTCTCATTTGTGGCCTTCTAAGCCAGCAGCTTCCAACGAAAATTTAGTTGGAATGGAGGATCAATTGGGGAAAGTTTATAAGCTCCTGAATTTAGGAAGAAAAGATGTGGTACTCTTTTTAGGGATTTTTGGAATGAGCGGAATTGGTAAGACAGGCATTGCTAAAGTTGTTTACTATAGAATTGCAGACGAATTTGAAAGTAGTTGTTTTCTTCACATTTCAAAGCAAAGTAATCTGATCTCACTACAACATCAACTACTTTCTCAACTTCTCCCAAAAGAAGACTTCCAAATTTGGGACAAGGATTGTGGAGTAGAGATGATTAAGAACTACGTCCGTGGTAGAAAGATTCTTATTGTTCTCGATGGGGTCGATGAAGAGAACCAAATCAAAAAGTTAGTTGGATTAGCTGGAAGTCCAGATTGGTTCGGACCGGGAAGTAGGGTCATCATTACGATTGGAGACAGAGAAGTACTTCTTCGTCAACCTACTTACGGAGATAAAATGGTAGAATACAATGTGGCGTTACTTGATGACGCCAGTGCCCTCCGACTCTTCTGCAATCATGCATTTAAAAGTGACCATCCTGATGATAATTTTAAGGATTTTTGTGGTGAGATCGTCAGAAAGCTTGAGGGACTTCCATTAGCCTTGAGAGTCATTGGGTCCTTTTTGTACAATAAAGATTTTGCTACCTGGGAAGAGACGTTGACGAGGCTCAATAAAGTTGAACAAGATTTCCTTGATACAATATTACAGAGAAGTTGAAAGGATTTACACTGGAAATCAGCCATCTAGTTTTTCTTGACTTGGCCACTTTCTTTCAATGGTACACAAGTTTCAACAAGTTGTGTTTAAAGAGTCCTAGCCCAAAGAAAACAAAGCAGCAGCATTTAGCCTTGGAAGATGTCTACCATAATCCCCCTGAAGAACATGCAAGAAAATACCGGTAAGCGTTCTTTTTAGAAGTAGAGATGCCTTAATTAATATTTTATGAACTTTAGTTTCCATGCAACTATCAGTTGTATGTTCTTTTTTAAAGCATAAATTTTTGCAGTATAGAAATTTACATACTTTATCTTAGCATCATCTTTTCCAGCTAATATCATAGGGACAATATATGCATGCTAAGTTAAAATAAATAACAGTACAGTGTAATTTGTGCTTTTTTCTGTTAGTATTGATCAAAAAGATGAATGCAGGAAGAAAATGCACCATTTATGCAATGGTTTGTGGTTTATTATCAAAAATAGATGGGAATGGAGATAAGAGACTAAGTACTCCAAGTTTGAAATTTATTCAAGAAATATATATCTTTAATTTCAATTTAACCAATCTCGCTTTTTATTATTTTTTCCTCGTTTACAGTATCACGAATGGAATGAAATGAAAACGCACATCAATGTGCTTTGTTCTGCCATGAAATGTTTGATTCTTTGACAGGGTAAGGTCTGCTCACAAGTTTCCAAGTATTATTTTTATGCAACGAGTTCATTTCCTGGTTCATAGCCTCAATCCACAACTGTGACTGATCTGAATTTACAGCTTTATATGAATTTGGTTCCGAGTACAAGTTTTCCTCTAGACGATTTAGTGCATATCCAACAAAGTCAGCTTGTTCTAATCTTGATGGTGGTCTAACAACTCTCCTTTCCTTGTCTCTGGTAAGTTGTTAATTTTGATCTAGATTTCTTTCTCCTGCTGATGAGTTTGTTTCTAGTTCAACACCCTCTTGAACTGATTCTTCTAAATTAGATTCATTTCTAGAGCTCTGTTCAAGTGGTTTTGATTTTCTTCAACTTGCTCCGAAGGTTCTGGGGTGTTGCTCTTTATCTCAAAGGATTGAAGTTCAATCTCAAAAGTATCAGTTTGTTCAGCTGAAGAACCTCTATGAGATTCAGACCAAACCATTTCTGCTTCATTGAATGCCACGTCCCTGCTAACAAGACATTTAGGACTCGTTTGGTAACGTTCCCGTTTCTTATTCTCGTTTCCAAATTTTATTAAGAAATTTAAGCATTTTGCAACTAAATACGTTTCTTGTTTCTATTTTTTGGAAACATTCTCAAAATTGTATAAAAATTTTGGAAACAATCAAAACAAGTTTCTTGTTTCTTATTTCCGTCTCCAATTCGTTACAATACATAAATATAAATTTCATATTCTGAGAAATACAACTTATACCCCTTCACTTCTTGAGCATATCTCAAGAAAACACACTTCTTTGCTCGAGGTTCAAGTTTTTCTTGCTTTACATGTGCAAAGGCAGTGCAGTCGAATATACTTAAATGTGGAGGTTCACAACTCCATATTTCTTGAGGAGTTTTATAGTTCAAAGTAGTTAAGAGACTTCGATTTATAACATAGGCTGCTGTATTTACCGCTTCTCCCCAAAATGTATTAGGTATTTAAGCATTCAGCAATATACATCTAACCTGATCAAGTATGGTCTTATTAAATCTTTCAGAAAGACCATTTTGTTGAGGGGTTCTAGGTATAGTCAAGTATCTCCCAATTCTTAATGTTTTACACAAGTTATGAAATTTCTCGTTGAGGTATTCTAACACGCATTTTAATTTTCTTTTCAGTTTGGTTTTCAACGAGATTTTCCCATCCAACAAACTTATCAAAGACTTCGTCTTTTGTTTTCAACAAATAGACCCTTAGTTTTCTTGAAAAATCATCAATTAAAGTTAGAAAATACCTTGATCCACCGTGAGTTGTTATCCTTGCAGGTCCCTAGAGATCATAATGAATATAGTCTAGCTTTTACTCTGTTTTATATGTTTCTGATTGAATCTTTGCCTTGAAGCCTTTCCTAAGATACAATGATTACAAAAAGGCAATTGTGTGGTTTTAACATTACCAAGCAGTCCCTGTTTGTTTAATTGTTCTAAGCCTTGTTAACTGATGTGGGCAAGCCTTTTGTGCCATAATTGGGCATACTGAGCAGATTTATCAATAGCTGAATCTAATTCCTCCTTTGGATATTTATCTGCTAATTGTGGCGATGTTTGAAGGTGAGACAGTGCAATTACACCTTCTTTGATAGCATCCTGAACAAAGTGACATTCAACTTGAATGTGTTTGGTGCATTAATAGAAAACTGAATTTCTGCTACACGTATCAAACAGTCATATTTCGAACCACCTTCCCAATGATAGTAGTTAACAAGTCATTTTCTCCTTCTACTTAGAAGAATTTCTATTGAAAGTTTTATCCTGCTGCTTGGAAGACTTATGAAATTGGTTCTTATACTGATTACTCTTCACAAACAAGGCCTCTAACTCCTTTTTCTGAGTCTTGAGTTCTAGTTGTTTGGATCTTAGAGAATCAAGAACGAGATCTACGGTCAAAGTGTCTTTCCCATGCTTTATTGCACTCTTAATTTCTCTATGCTTCTCAGGTAATGAGTTTAATAGGATAACAGCCTGATTCTCTCCATCTATCTTCTCTATATGTTTGCAGATCCATACAAATAAAGTGAACTCATTCAAATTTTCTTCCAAATTCCTTGAAGGATCCATTTTAAAACTGAAGAAACGTTCCTTGAGGTAAATTTTATTTGTTATGGACTTTTGACATATACAAACTCTCAAGTTTTGTCCAAAGTTCTGACACTTTCAATTTCTATTATCCTTCTAAGTACATTATCAACAAGATACAAGATAATGGTACTATATGCTATTTCAGCACATCTTTTTTTCTGCTTCGGTAATTGTATCCAATCTTGGATCCTCTAACGCCTTAGCAACCTTCTGTCGTACCAATAGTGCTTTCATCTTCTTCCTTCATTTCCTCCACAAACAGATATCTTCCTTTCCATCGAATCTTTTGTTGGGTTGTAAAATGTGCAAATAAAGTCTCACGTTGATTAGGGAAGAGAGTGATCCATGGTATATAGATGAGGACAATCATCTCAATTGGTATATGAGATTTTCGAAAGAAACCAAAAACAAAATTGTAAGAGTTATGCCCAAAACAGACAATATCATACCATTGTTGAGATATTTCGAGTACTGTTGTTTTTAACAAATGGTATCAAAGTCATGGTAAAAAATCTAGTTGTGAGAGAAATTCTTGGATACAAGACCGAACCAGAGTGATTGGTGAGCCTAATAGTCATTACAGAACTTGTAGATGAATCTCCAGATCGACAAAAAGTGCTCGAGATGGCAAGCAAAGACATGCTCTATGCTCGGATGATAAGCAAGACATGTCCTATTAATTCAAGGTAGATTGATAGAAAGTCTATCACAGTCAAGTAGACTGATAGGAAGGATGATGTAGTTTTGTTCGAGGGGAGGGGATTGAGGGTGCGATAGAACGACACCCCAGATATTCCCACAATGTGGTCCTTGTAGCAAGGAGTGCATGATTGTTCGAGGCAAGATGCAAGTAGTACTTTGTTCAAGAAGAGGGTTGTTGGGGTTGTAAAGTAGGCAAACAAAGTCTCACATTGGTTAGGGAAGAGAGTGATCTATTGTATATAAATGAGGACAATTATTTCATGAGACCTTTTGGATGAAACCAAAAGCTTTTGGATGAAACCAAAAGCAAAACCGTATGGATAATACCCAAAGCGGACAATATCATATCAAGGTACTGTTGTCCTTAACATCTTTTTAGTTCAAAACGAGCGAACATTGTCGAGCACAAAATTTGCAATCGATTCACAAAGTAATTGACTTATTAAACCAAAAACAAGTATTTCCAGAGATCAAGAAAATCTTGATTGCAAATGAAGGAATTTAATCGAGTAGTTTTATCGATTCAGGAAGAAAAAGAACACGAGCTGGAACTTAAATCACTCATACACGAAGGCTCTGATGCCAATTTGTTGGAATTAACCCAGAAACAAATCACTCAAAACTAAAAACAAAGAGTGAGAGGAGAAAAAAATAGGAAGCATCAAGATTACAGTAGTTCGACAGTGCCCAAACCCCAGTAACTTTTTGGACCGCATAGTGCTCAACTTTTTGGCATTTTAAATTTTAAATTTTTGAGTTTAGCATCAGACTAAAAATATAACTTGATCATTTTTTCTGAGTTGGAAAAGCCTAGGCTAAGGTTGTAAAACAGAGAAAATCAACCAACAATTGAATCAAATAAATCAATGAAACAGATTCCCAAAAATTAAACTGCAGAACCCTTCTTCTAAGAACATGAATGCTAAGTATCAAAACAAGAACACCAACGATATATAGTGGTTCGATCATAAAATCGATCTACATCCACTTGAGGATCTCACTATCTTCGGATTTCAACGGAAAAATTACAGAGAATACAACTCTCAGGAGCAATCTCCACCTTCAGCACAAGAAATCTATCAGACTTTTCTGGGAGATTCCAGACCACCAAGAAGCAAAAATCAACATATCTCCACCTTAATTGCACTCTCTCAATATCACCCAGAAACTAACTCAAAAATAATCCCCCGATAATTTGGTAAAAATTCCCTTACAATATAAACACCTGTTTAGAATAATCTAGAGGCCAATTTCAAAACTACCACTGAGTCATGGCAACCAACTCAGAAAGAGTATAACAAACTTGTGGATGATGATGTATGAGCCCCTGTGAGGAAAGCTAATAAATACGAGTATAACAAACTTGTGGATGATGATGTATGAGCCCCTGTGAGGAAAGCTAATAAATACAAGCAGCAATAATGAAGAGCTGACCACCTGGAAGATATTCCAACTCAGTAGCTGAGCTGTCCATTTACTTTGATGAGCTGTCACAATACATTACAATACTCCACCTTGACAGCTGGCACATCCGAAATGAAATAGGACTCCATAAACTGTTTTACAGAACAGATCCAACCCTGAGAGTTCTTAAGCAACTCTCAAGGGTTTTAGTTTGAACAGATTTTTAAATTGCATCTGCTGCATTGTCTTTAAAAGCTACCTTTTCTAGCTTGATCTCTCCTTCTGAGACAATATCTCTTGATAAAATGGAAACACACATCTATGTGCTTTGGTCCTTTCATGATAAGTTTGATTTCGAGATAGAAAAACTGCACTATTTACTATCTAAAAACACGGCCACTTGTTCTGAAAGGTCTTCTCCAAGCTCTTCAACAAGGTCTTTAATCCAGATTGCCTCTTTAAAGGCTTCAGACAAAGCTGATCTGTGGTTGAAAGGGGAACAACAGATTGTAGGGTGGACCCCCAACTGATGATATTTCCAAATAAGGTAAAAGCAAGGCCTGTCAATGACCTTCTTCTATCTCGATCCACTGCATAGTCAGCATCGACAAAGCCTCTTAGAATTCTCTGATTATTCTGCATACATCTGAATAGGAGGAAGAAAATGCACCATTTATGCAATAGTTTATGGTTTATTATCAAAATGGATGGGAATGGAGATAATCATTTAAGAGACTAAGTAATGAGTTTTTTTTTTTAACAAAAAACGAACTTTTCATTGATTTAATGAAAAGGAACAGAAAATTGTTCAAAGATACAAACCCCTGAAGGAGTGAGAATGTAACAAAGAGTTAAGAAAGCATCAAACGAAGCAGAACACAAAACAAAAGCTAAGGGGGAGTTATAAAAGCCTCCCAATTAGAACAAATCATACTCGGAGAGTAATTAACAAAAACATTGGGAAGAGCACACCATTGAGAAGCCTTAAACTTTGCTAGGTAGAAAACTTCAACCGGATCTCGACGATTCCCCTTAAAGCCTTTGATTTCTCTCGAACCAAATATCGGACAGCAAAGCTTTGACTCCATTACACCAAAGAAGACCCACCTTTGACGCAAGACGCGGGCCAAACAACAAAGATTGAACATTCTTTGCAACTTCGAAGTCAAAAACCCAAGAAACCTCAAAGATCTCAAAGAAAAGCTTCCAGCAAGTAGCCGAATAAGAACACTGAAAGAATATATGATGCTGGACCTCACAAGACTAAATTTATTCAAGAAATATATATCCTTTAACCAATCTCGCTTTTTATTACTGTCATTGTTAAATTTTTGCAATATATATGCATTCTTATTTGGGATTATAACACACAAACTTGGACAAGACATTGACGAAAATAACCTAAAATTGAAATGAAGAAAATTGACCCTCCTCTTCCCTCAAGAAAAGAGGGCTATGAGGTTTTTGATATTTTACATGAAAACTTCAATCATTCATCTCCACAACAAGCTCTCTCATCTTGCAGGTAATTCTGAAAATGTGCTTATGAGGAGAAGATCGAGAGGAAAAGGCCAACAAAGTATGTTTCCATTAGCTTTTCAAATTTTCAAGTATTTCATTTAGTTTTTATCCTTCAAACAGTGGGCTTTTTGTCAATGCATGTTTTCAAATATGATTGTGCTGTGTTGAGAAATGGAAAACTGAGAGAAGATTTATGAGTGTTGGAATTAACCAAGAAACAAATCACTCAAAACTAAAAATAAAGAGTGAGTGGAGAAAAGAATAAGCAGCTAACAAGATGGTGTACAGAAAGTAAAAATACACTCTGCCTTGCAATAGTATAGCACCAATTACTTAACTAATCAGCTTTGACTAAGTTAACCAGTTTTTGGTTAAATGATAAGGAAGGCAGCTGGTAAGGGCACGTTAACAGTTTCACCCTCCCAAGGAGCATATAAAGTGTGTAACCTAAAACATTATTTCATCACTTTAACAATTTTATCACTCTGCTCAAATGAACAACGTTTTTAAAACATCTTTTGATAAACTAAAACATTATTTTATTGAATTGAAAGGGATGCGAGCGCCTTAGGTAAAAAAGAACCGATTGTCTTCTCATCCTAAATTTCTCCCATTTTCCTTGTCGTTTTCCTTCACTCCATTTCGTTTCTCTTTTGCGCTCTCAAAACCTCTCTTGCTCTACTTTCTCTTCATTGGGCAACAAACATTGTTTGAAGTTTGAATCTTAGATGTAAGTTTGATAGTTTGTAAGTTTTGCGTCGTTTTGAAGGTTAGCATTTAATTTTTATGGCAATTGAGGGGTTGGGGTTTGCGTCGATGGTTCCATTTTTCCGTCTATTCCATTTTTCTCGTGTATAGATTAACAAATTTCGGTTTAGGGTTTGTTTTGCGTCGATTTAATTTTTCGAAAAATAGATGAAATAATGCTTACTATTTGGTGTTGTTTCATTTCTGATTGATTTTCTAGCGTCTGGTTGGTCTATTTTGAGGTGGTGGGAGGAAGGTTGAAGGTGAAGTTTTGATGATGCACTCGGGCAAAGTTGGATGAAACTAAGGGACCATATGTTTGGAAAATTGGAGAACTTCGCTCAAGTTTACCTTCTGTAAAATTTCCCGGGCAAGACCTTGCACGAAGTTTCGACCGAGGAATTCAACAGAAGTACAAAACTCAAGTGAAGTTTAAAAAATTGAGCAACTTTGCTCAAGTTTTATACCTTATGTCTACTTCCCCGTGCATGATCTCATCCGAGTTTTGTACCGAGGAATTCAGCTGATGGTAGAAAACTTGAGCGAAGTTTGAAAAATTTAGTAACTTTGCTTGAGTTTTATACCTTCTGACAAAATTCCTAGGCACAATCTGGCCTAAGTTTAGGTTCGAGGAATTCATCAGAAGTTTATGGAACCTGTCCTGGTTATGTTATGTCTTTTCTGCTTCTTCTCTGCTTGTTTGATTTCGAATGTGCTCTTTTTTTGTTCCCTGACTTATAGGTTGTAAGTGAAAATGGTACCCAAGATCCCTCCCTCTAGTTATTCCTATGCCCAATTGACTTGTTTAACCTGGATTAAAAAAGATAATATATTATTGGATCAACATATAAACATGTTAACAGAAACAAACAGATGCACAAATATTCTGTCAAAAAACTTAAATCAAAACTAGGGTTCACATGGGTTATCAGCTTTCACCCCAACCTGAGTAAAAAAAAGTCCAAGTTCCCCCATTTACAAAGCCACTATTCTTTTTGGCTCCGCCAAGATTGTGCCCAAATAAAAGACATGTTCAACAAACAAGGACCAGCCTGCACGGGTTTTCACCAAAGAGAAACCAAATAATCTAGGCTAAAACTTGGGCAGGGTGTCCCTAAGTTTTCGCATGGGTTATAATTTTGCACCATAATTTGTGCAAAAATACGTGCAAGTTGCCACATTATTGCCTTAGTAACTTCCCCGAGCTAACACGCTGCCAAACTTGAGCCTGGGGAAACCGATTCAACGAAAATTGGCAATCTCGCACAGGTTTTGCCCAAAGTTTTCGACGAAATTGATTTCACGAGTGAAGCTATGCGTGAATGCTTGCCCAAGTTATACGTTTGTGTTCATTTCACTCCAAATCTATCACAAAAACATTTTCAAACAAATTTCACATTTTGCCCATCAGAAAACGTCTATTACAACAACCTAAAACCCTAAAACAAAAATGGAGTACCATTCATTCACTACAAACAAAGGGACAATGAAAATACAGAGTTTCAAAATCATCCAAAACCCTAACCTATATAAGCTGAAAAGAGTACAAAATAAATGAAATCAAACTTACCCAGTTACCTCGACGATTTGACTTCCTCTAAGAAACGATTGAAATCCGAAAACGTAAGGAGTGGGGGGGGGGGGGGGCTCTTTTCTTTGTTTCCATTGGTCCGAAAATGCAAGAGCTCTCTATTTCATTACTTTTGTTCTTCCCTTGCTTGTATTTTCTAACCATTTTTCCACTTTTTAATTAAAAAATGTCGCATGGACAGGATAAGGTCACTTTCCCAATTCATTCTCCATCACATACTTTCGTTCGTAGACATAAAAACTGTTGTTCAAACCAGCATCCTGTCCAAAAATTGGAAGGATGTATGGGTTTACCTTCCTATTATGAACTTTAAATATGATTCTTGTCAACTCACGACTCAACCTTCTAATGATGATGAATATGTTAGAATAGCAAGTTTGTTCCGAGAATTTTATATTCTACCTTCGGTTCCCTAAGGAATAGGTTTTGCAATATTAGGAAATTGACTATCTTGTATCCTAAGGCCGACCTAGTAGATAGGAAAGTTTTCATGTTACTCTTCTACCCTGCATTAACACATGATGTAGAGGAACTCATCGTCAACACAAAGATATTTGCATTTCCTTACTAGTCATGCAAGTTGTCATCGTGCCAATCGTTAAGGTTGAGTGGGTTTTTCACTTGAACTGTGCAGAGAGGTGTGGTTTCCTCTTAGATTAGATGTCATGAAATCGGTAGAGGTTGTGACAGAACATTTGGCCCACATTACATTTACCAGCTGTTCATGTCTGGATCATTAAAATTACAAGGATACATCTTTGAGACAATTACGATCATAGCCTGAAAGTTAGAGTATCTAGAAATTAGTTACCTACTTATTCGAAAGGAGGATGTTGAAGATGATGACCATTTTTATCTTTTTGGGTACTGGAGTTGAGACTTTGTACACCAAATCTTTCTTCGATCAAAATTGACAGTTTCTCCCTAGCACCAGGTGGATTAGTGAACTTACGTGCCTAAAAAAAGTCATTATGACWCACAATCACGATAGCTTAAAGTATAGAACAATTGAGGTTGGGGAACTGAGCGCAGCAAAATTGAGTTGTCTATTCAATCTATCTCGATAGGAAACATCTCTGATATTAAGTTCAACTACTGTAGAGGTACATTTATGGGTTATTTTTTATTTTACATTTGCAGGTAGTTATCTTTTCAACTTTCATACTAATATATATGTAAAATTTCTCTTAATCTTCTGCTCAAGAAATTATCTCTTTTTTCAGGCTTTATCAGTTTTTATACCATTTGTTAACGAAGACGAAGCTGAATTTTGTGACAAGTTGAGGCATCTAAATTTGAATATGGATAAGAAGAGGGTGGAGATGTCAAAATACATAATGTTTTTTCTCAAAAGCCCTCTTCTCAAAACATTCACAGTTGTAATTTCTTGATTCAAGAACTGCATTTTTAATTCATACCGTTCTTGCAAATGCAAAATTGGTTTAATGCTTTAGGAACCTAGTTTAGCTCTATTTTAAAAGTTTTTGTTTGTTTGCATACCGCCACCATCAAGCTGTGGAGAGAAAAATGGGAGCTAATCCAAATGATCAAAAGAGATCTATATTTTTATTGCATTAAAGTTTAAATATAGAGTTTCCAATACATTTTTGGAGTTCGTAACAGCACAATATAACAACAATGTGTTCTTTGATAGTTAATTTTAGTCTGCTATTTCAACATGACAAAGAAAATTTACATTGTTCCATGGTTTAATGCAATTTTGGGCATATGTTTGTAAATATCAATATTCCATATAAATAATAAACTAAAATATAAAAATATAAAGAAACAAAAGAGAAATCAAAATGCCAAAAATTGAAACAGTAATATATATACTACTACTTTTATTATTTTGTTTGTTAATATCAATATTCCATATTAATAATAAACTAAAATATAAAAATATAAAAGAAAAAAAAAAAGAGAAATCAAAATGCCAAAAATTGAAACATTAGGCCCAGAATTGCATTAAACCACCAAACAATGTAAATTTTCTCTGTCTCAAAGAACACATTATTGTTATAATGCACAGTCTAAGCAACCTACAAACTCCAAAAATGTACTGAAAACTCTATATTTAATGCAATGAAAATATAGATCTCTTTGATCATTGGAATTAGATCTCACTTTTCTCGCTAAACTAGATTCTTAAAGCATTAAACAAGTTTTGCATTTGCAGGAACATTAAGAATTAATAATGGGTTACTTGAATCAAGAAACTACCATAGTTAAAATTCTGATAAGAGGCCTTTTGAGCAAAACTATAATGTATTCTGGCATCTCCATGACTCCATCCTCTTATTATCCATCTTCAAATTCCGATGTCTCAACTTGTCATAAAACTCAACTTCACATTCATTAACAGATGATCTAAAAAATTATAAAGCCTGAAAAAGATATACTTTATTGAGCAGAAGATTTATATTTCGAAGCAAACATACTAAGAGAAATTTCCCAAGAAATTAGTAAGAAATTTGAAAATAAAACTACTTGGTTGTATCTCTAAATGTAAAATAAAAAATAACTCATAAATGTACCTCTGCAGCAGTTGAACTTAATATAAGAGATGTTGCCTCCCGAAGTAGTTTTAATAGGCAACTCAATTTTGTTGAGTCCAGTTTCTCAACCTCAATTGTTATATGTTTTAAGCAATCGTGATTGTGAGTCATAATGACTTTTTTAGGCATGTAAGTTCACTAATTCACCTAATGCTAGGAAGAAGACTGTTAATTTTGACAGAAGAAAGATTTGGTGTATAGAGTTTTAACTTCGATATCCAATAAGATAAAAATTGAGCATCTATCTTCAATATCCTTCTTTGGAATGAGTGGGTAACTAATTTCTAAATACTCTTTAACTTTGAAGGCAGTGATGCTAATGACTCAAGGATGTACATGTGATTTTAATGATTCAAGACATGGACAACAGGAAAACATATTGTCAAAAAATGTAACGTAGGCTAACCTCCATTGATTTCATGACATCTAATCTTAGAGGAGATCACACTTCTCTGCACACATCATTTGTTACCATAAAGTAGAATAGTAACATGACAACTTTCCTATCGGCCTTAGGATATATATAGTCAATTTCATAATCTTCCAAAACTTATTCCTTGGTTACTTTTACCCCATTGTAATGTTTGGTAATTATGATTTACAATGAGAATCAATAATGATACTCGTGAAGCATAAATGACAAGAGATTCATTCATTTTTTTCATCATCAATGGAAGATAAAGTCTATTTCACTACTAGTTAGAGAAACAGGATGTGTTTCTAAACACAACATTACTGATTAAACTCTATAAATAGAGTCGAGAAGTCAGACAAATTAACTACGAGTGTCCAAAACAGCAAAAAGAATTTCTAACTAAACTGACAAAATCAAAGCAAACCTGCTGGGTCCCCGCCGTCGCCGGAGAGGATCGCGACTCGCCGCCGCCGGTTAGGGCACTGCAGGGGGCACTGCAGGGGGCACCATCTAATTAAATTAAGAAACCCTTTTCGTTTCAAACAATTTTACACCAAAACAGAGAGTTGAATGACATTCTATTTGGGCCTGTTCAAGCAAACGGGTGGCCTTCAACGTACATTTATAACCTATAACCTGTAATCTATATATAATATCTATTAAAAATACAGTATTGAAAGCGAACATAACTCACCAATAATTAACATATATCTCCAACCAAGTATCCCTATTATTTTACCACCGCATTGGTGTATTTTGTTTAATATTTAGAATGTTGGTGTATTTTGTTTAATATTTAGAATGTTGAATAATTGAGTAACGTATTATTCAACTTAATTATATTTTAAAATTATTTAAGATTAGTTTTATATCTTTATAATATAATTTTATTTTTCAAAAACGAAGAAAAAAATAAATTTATGACTAATTATATGTTTTAGTTCCTCATGTTTGAGTATTTTTTTAATTTAGAATCTATTGTTTAAAAAGTTTCAATTTAATCGTTACGAAAAAAAGAAAAGTTTCAATTTAGTCTTTGTTGCTAGTTGCATCGGGTCACATTAATCACAATTTTTTTATATATAAAAGGAGAAATTCATTAAGAAACAAAGGCCAGTTGGACTACATTTGACAGCAAATTACAGCTTGAAAGAGATTCAAACCACTGTGGAAAAAAAGCAGAGGTAGAAGAGAGAAGAGCACCCTTAGCAAGGCGGTCAGCAATCTGATCATACTCACTGTTTATATGCTTGAACGAAATCCCATAATGGTTGTTATGCAATGGGAATCGATAGTCGAGCTACAGGTTACGATCGGAGGGAAGTCTACTAGGCCACAAGGGGCTCGGCCCACAGCCCAGCCAACGATCCCCCATCTTCGATCGACGATTTCGCCCAGGCCCTGCAACGGTGAATTAGGGTTAGCTACGAAAAGTTCTGGAACAACTTCACGGCTATAAGTAGCGATCTAGCCTTAGAGGTAGGGGCATCTAAAAGTTGATTACATTTACGTTATTCTCTTGCTAACTTAAGCATCGGAGCCCGTGTGACTAGAGTCACACCGGTTTAGCTCGATTTGGTTTTGCAGGTACTAATCCCGAATCAACAAGTTTAGTGGGTGCGAAGAAGAGAACCGGAGGATCGAAATCCACGCATCAACAATTGGCGCCGTCTGTGGGAACGATTTAAAGCATCCAGTTAAGCAACATGACACCAGAAAGGAGTCCACGACGCTCTGATGATAACTGCTCTGCCAAGAGGAGGCTGAACTTGGACGACCCCCAGGTTGGGGGACCTAAGGATGGGACCAGCCAGTCAAACCCGGAACGTCAGGAGGGGTTGCCCGAGGCGCATGCACTAACGACCCCTGA